GGCCGGGGCGACCGTCGGGCCGCGGTCGGCAGGGAGGTTTGAATATTAATGTCGCGGCGTCGGGACAGAAGGGAGGTTGCGGCTCCGGCTCCTCCGGGCAGACTCTGGGTGACAGCGATGATGGATGAGCCCGCCGAGCCCACAGCTCCGCCCCTCCAGCCCCGACACTGTCAGAGCTACTGGAGGCGAAGCTTTGGAAAGAAAATAAATAAACAGCATCCCGGCCCCCCCACCCACCCCCCATCTTCGTGCACCTCCACCCCCAGCCCGCTTCCGGACATGGAGGTCTGGATCATTATGAGTCAGGGACTGCTCTCGGTACTTTCCCAATGGCTGCAATAAAACCGTCTCACGATGCAAACGTGGGGTGCTTGTGCTGGGGGGTCCCTGCCCCCCGCCCCCACGACAGGAGCCACGGCAAAAATCCCTGACCTCCCCGCCAGAGGCGTTGGGGCAGGAGGTGCAGGGGCCCGAGCGCGGCGCCCCGCACCGAGGCGGGCGAGAAAGCGGGGTGGCGGGGAGGCCGCCCGGCTGCTCCCTTTGTCTTGCGTCGGATGGGCTGGGTGGGCTTGTTCGTGGTTGCTTTGGGGTCTCTTTGGCCCGCGGGCGCCCGCGTGCGGAGGGGACGCCGCCGGGGTCTGTAGCCTAAGGACCCCAGTCCTTTGGAGACGCCGGTTTGGAGCGCGTGGGTCTCGGCCGCGAGGTCGCACGTGGGAAAAGGTGTGCGGCCCCGGGTCCGTCGGAGGGCGGGGGCTCGGCCGCCGGGGAAGGCGGGCCTCCCTCCCGCCACCCCTCTCCGCTCCCCACCCCCCGCCGGGGGCTGCTTTTTGTCGCTGGCACTGGTTGGGCTGGGGTGGTGGGGGGGCTGGCCGCCCCCACCCCCACCTCGGCTGCCCGAGCCTTTTCTTCCCGCTCCGGCCCCTTCGGCGGCGGTGCCCGGGGTTTTCTAGGTGTTTCTATGACTACATTGTGTGTGTGGGAGGGTCAGATGTGGGGGTTGCCGGCGAGAGGGCCGTTCTTGGGCGATCATTTATCAATGTCACCCACATAATGATTCTCTCTGCAGCCTCCTATTGATGAGGATAATTACATTAGCTCAGAGTGACTGATCAATGAAAAACCACCACACAAAAACTTC